CACACACACACACACACACACACACACACACACACACACACACACACACACACACACACACACACAACACACACACACACACACACACACACTCACACACACACACACACACACACACACACACACACACACACACACACTCACACATACACTCTCGGACACACACATTGCACACACACACACACGCGCAAAACTTCTACAACTTGCATCACACAAGAAACTGCCATTCTAATTTTCCCCACGTATAATAAAACAAATCTGAACATAAAAATAAATCACCATTTTCTATCCTCCATCGAACGCCAAATCCCCAACTCCGCTCTCCCTGCAACCGAAACGAGCTCTTAACGTCTTCAGCGCCGAAGCACAAGCGTACCAAATGGCATTCAACGCCACGACCCGCACAAACGCAAACTCGTGTTGCCTTCAGCCCCGCCAACGTACACGCGGATGTACTCTTTCCACCCTGCTCCTCTTGCCTTCACGCCGGGCAGTCTCTAAACCACCAGATTACACGGGTGACGGGGCAGAGTGGGAGAGTAATGCGCGGGTTGTCAACGCTGCAAAGGCGGGGGCGGGAAGGGTAAGGGGAAGGGAAAGGAGGGAGGGAGGAAGAATGGAGTAGGAAAGAGGAGAGAAGGATGGAAAAGAAAGGAGAAGAGAAGGAAAGGAGATAGGAATGGGGTAGGGAAAGATGGAAAGAATGGGGAAAGGAAAAAGGAGATGGGAAGAGGGAAGGGGAAGGAGGGGGGAGAGAAGGATAGAAAGGGAAGGAGGAGAGGGGGCGAGGAGATAGGAAGGGGGAAGGGAAAGGAGGGAGGAGAGAAGGATGGAAAGGGAAAAGAGAGAGGGGGATGGAATAAATGGAGGCGAAATGGGAAAAAAGGAAAGAAAGAAAACGAGGGCGAAGGGCCAAGGAAAAGGAGAGAGGAAAAAAGAACTGGGAAAGGGAAAGAAGGAAGGATGGGAAAGGAAAGAAAATGTAGAAGGAAAGAGAGAGGAAGAGGGATGGGGGTAAATTAGAGGAGGGAACAGGGAGGAAGATGTAGGAAGAAACGAAGAGAAAAGAGAGAGAGAGAAAAAAAAAGTAATGAGTGAAGAGGAAAAGTGAAAAAGAGAAAATGAGTGAAAGAGAGAAAGAGAAAACGAAATGAGAAAAAGAGTGAAGAAGAAAAAAAAGAGAAAGAGGAGTCAAAAGAGAGAAGAACTAAAAAAAAAAAAAAAGAAATAATAATAATACATAAGTGAATAAATAAATGAATAAAGGGAAAGGGAGAAATAAGAAGAAAGTTAAGAGAGAAAAAGAAGTATTTAGACAGACAGGGATCGGACGCAGGAAAGGAGAGGAGAGGAGGAGCCGAGAAATTTCCTTACGAGAAGATTTCTCTCCAATATTTGTTAAGAGGCGAGAGAGCGAAGGAGCGAATGAGGGGAGAAGCGGAGAGGCGAGAAGAGGGCGAGGCAAGAGGATTCTCAGGAGGAAGTGGGATGGAAATAACGGAGGGAATAGAATGGAAATCGAACGAAGTAAAGGAGGAATGTATAGACAGAAAGAAAGATTGATGGATGAAAGCTGGGAGGATATACGGAGAAATGTGTGTATGGAGATAGAGCGAGAGAGCGAGAGAGAGAGAGATAGAGATAGATAGATAGATAGATAGAGAGAGAGAGAGAGAGAGAAAGAGAGAGAGAGAGAGAGAGAGAGAGAGAGAGAGAGAGAGAGACAGACAGACAGACAGACAGACAGACAGACAGAGGAAATGAAGGAGGAATGGAGAGAATGAGAGGATAGGGGAATGAGAGAGAGAGAGCGAGAGCGAGAGAGAGAGAAAGTAAGATAGAAAGAAAGAAAAAGCGAAAGAAAAACTAAAAGAGAGAAAGGAAAACGAAAAGATAAAACGAGTAACAGAATGTTTATTCATGCTTCTGAATCACCCCCTGGAATGGCCGGGGTGGCCGTCCACTGGCGGGGCGGGACTTGAGCGCAGGTCAGCAAGATTGCTAGGTGAGATTCCACTGCATCTTATAGAAAGAGAGTGTGGTGTGAGGCGAGGAGAGAGGAGGGAGGGAGAGGGAGGGGAAGGAGGGGAGGGAGGGAGGGAGGGAGGGAGGGGAGGGAGGGAGGAGGGAGGAGAGGGAGGAGAGGGAGAGAGGAGGGAGGGAGGGAGGGAGGGAGAGAGAGAGAGAGAGAGAGAGAGAGAGAGAGAGAGACAGACAGACAGACAGACAGACAGACAGATAGACGGACAGACAGAAAGAAAGAGAGACAGAGGAAATGGAGGAATGGAGAGAATGAGAGGATAGGAGAATGGGAGAGAGAGAGAGGGAGAGAGACAGACAGACAGACAGACGCTGACAGACAGAGACAGACAGACAGAAACAGGCAGACAAACAAAGAACCCCGTCGCAAATAGATCGGACAAGGAAAGAATACTGAGCAAGATCTCGAACAGAAAGATCAAGAACAAAAGACAAAGAACAGAACGGTCATAAAGAGACA